AAAATATAGGTTGGAACGGGCCGTTCTGAACCAATCAAAGAGGCTAAATCTTTTACCTCGGAACGGGCCGTTCTCACTTTAGAACGGCCCATTCTGGTTCCCTGGAACGGGCCGTTCTAATTTCAGAATGGGCCGTTCTAGGGTACGAAAATTCCACATAACGTTCGAATTCGGAACGGGCCGTTCCGAATCTAGAACGGGCCGTTTCGGCCCACATCTGATGCCTATAAATAGGAATCTCGGCCACAGTTCTAGGGACTCCAAAAATTTCGTTCAAAGCTCCATAGAGCACGAAATTTCTCTCTTTTTCTCTCTCCCCCTCTCTGTGTATTTCTTGATATTTTTGTGAGGCATTGTAGTGTGAAGGGTTGCCTAAAAGCACCCAAATCTCCATCTTTGAAGATTAATAGAGCTTGTTCAAGAGGTATTTCAGCTAATTTTCTTCTCTCTCTTTTATTTCTTCTTTTTAATAAATATTATTTATAATAAAAATAATCATGTAAACATTTTAGGATTAATTGTATAATTTAAATTTCAAGCATGTAAATAATTATTAATAAAGGGGATTAAATATTTTAATTATTAATTCTTATTACGTTATCTTCATCATAGGGTACCGATTTAGGGCGTTGTAGGGGTGCTTAATACCTTCCCTACACGTAACCGACCCCCGAACCCAATTCTGGTTATCAAGACCATTATTGGACTTTTAAAAACCTTTTCTTTTTCCAATGTTTTGAGTAAAATATTGGTGGCGACTCCATAGAACTTATTTTCAAAACCATTAATTAAGGGTTAGTCTGGTGTCCGGGCATTCCTTAATTGATGAGATCTTTAAAAGAATGTCTAAACCATTAGTCGCGAGATCGGAAATTTTTGGGTTGCGACACTCATACACCCTGGCATGACCAAGATAGAGGCCTTTGATTGGAACTATGCCTGACATGACTGTGATTTTTGCACAATGCAAATCACAAAGATTCATCCCAAGCTCATGAAAAAATAGGAGATCCAACACATTCAAAGCATCTAATTCATACACATCGTGTAACCCTCAAAACCATCCAGAAAAAACACGCATACAACCAAGTTTGCATCATTCATCAAAATCACCATCATAGATGAAAACACCAAAAACTCATCTTCTTCACCATTTAATTTGAGTTCAACCACATACAGGTTCACATTTAATGAAAACAACAACAACAAATTATCAAATTAATGACCAAATCATCCTAACTTCCCTTACCTCAATCCTCAAGCAACAAAAAAAAGAGAAGGAGAAGAACGAAGAACTTCAAGCTTCCAAGCTCCACACTGCCCTAACCCTCTGATTCTTAGCTCAAGATTTGAATCTGACACTCCCAACTATGAATCTCGCACTCGCAAGGAACCTAGAAGGAAGAAGGAAAGAAGAATCAGAGCTTCTCTCTCTAGATTTCTCTCTCTATGATCTTCAAGAAATTAAGATTATGAGGCTCAACTCTAAAAAAAATCTTATATACTTTTTCGCTCATGGTCAATTGATCCTCCGGCTATAGACCCCCACAATTCACCTAAGCTCAACACTATAATAGTTATAAACAGGAATTTAGAAACATACATATTTTCATTATAAGAATAGAGAAATTTAAGAATGTTTTAATATATAGAGAAGTTCATGTGAAAATTGTATGGTTGGCCCAAAGGTGAGACTAACAAAATCTTTGCTTTAAGTTCCCTTCAAAAAAATATTTTATATTAATATTTATAAGTTTTTTAAGGTTTCATAACTTAACATTTTTAAAAATTTATTTTAAAAACTTTACCTTTGAAAGATATATAAATATAATTATCTTTTCAAGATCTATTTTAAAATATTTTTATTTTTTTATAAAAAATATTATTATTAATTTTTTTAAAATTTTACTTTAAAATTTGTTTTACTTCTACTAATATGTTGAGTCCTAATGGGAATTTGGGGCAAATACAACAACTAAATTAGTTGCAGCAAAGAAACAGAAAAAATAATTTTGTAACAGAAAACTTTAATACCCAACTTCGGTATTCCCCTGCATTTGACAATTATGAATTATGATTGTAAGCTTACACAGTTTTTAATGGGTTGTTCTGAAAGGTTTAATGGGTTGTTCTGAAAGGAAAAGGTTATCACCGTCGCATTATCGAGAAAGGGGGAAAGAAGGAAACAAAGGCACGCATAGAACTAAACTAAGAGGTCAAATCAAATGTGTAACTATTAATTATCAGCCTTTACTCTTTATTATTTATTACAAAATAATAAAATTCAATGTCTTTTTGTCTCTGAAATCGACTGTGTTTGAAAGTATCTATAATTACAAATTCTTTAGAGACTGATGATCTACGTGTAGAGATTCTAATGACCTTAAACAAATTTAATTGATAACCAATTTAGGAGAAGTTCGAATGGTGATAAGAAACAAGTTAAATGAATGAACTAATTAAGCGATTCCTAAACCGAATTAAAAAAGCAGCTTCTACTCTTTTTTTCTTCTTTAAGAACTGATGATTTTATATTATAAGCTCCGTTATGAATTCCATATTAGCAATACTTTCGTTTATGCATTTTAACTTTTTAGCTGGTTAACCCTTAACCCTTACGGCCTTGAACCTCTAATTTTGGGGAAAAAATATCCAAATTTACCACCTTTTTTGGTTGCAATTGGCATGAACTTATAACTCATAATGATTATGCAAATTTCACTGTGGTGCTTTTTAAGCGTCACACTTTCTCACTTTTGGAGCAATTGCTTCCAAGCTTCCTAAGTGGGTCTTATGTGTTGAGAAAAATCTTGCATGTGCATTGAACAAGATCCAGTACACATCTATTTGACAAGGGATCGACCTTCAAAAACTCTCTTTCATGGGGGTCTACAAGAGCTTTGGACCGTGAAACTTTTGGTAAAAATGAAGTTGGATTAAGAAAGTGTTTTTCCCTTACATTCATTATATGGTCAATTATGCGAACATGACCTGCATTCCAGTGGACCATTGAACCTAATCACCATTGAGAAATCATATACGGACAAGTTATCTTGAAACAAAATAGCCTAACTTTTCAAATTCAGAATTCCATGTTTGATTTTCATGTGTCTTATTCCACTAGTATGATATGTACTATAACTCATAACCTATAAGGTTTTTTTTTAATTATTTATTTGTGGGGAGAGGGGGGGTTCCATGGCTGTGTTTTAAAACTGGAAAAACATTCTGAATCTTAGAACCCTTCAACGAACTTAGCCAGCTGTTTCTTTTGTGAGCTGTTTGGATAGGCACTTTTTAACATGCTTAATTTATATAATATAGAACCAACATGCCCCACAAATAATATAACAAGTTAGGTGAAGATCAAAACCGGTTATCGTTAACATGGCAAGAAAGACTGTGCATGCATAACAAATTAGTCAGAAAGAAGTGTGGGTACCCTTTGGAGGGTGAAAAAGATAATGGGATGTGGGAAAGAAGCTAGAAAGTGAAAAGATCATGTGGACAAACCTGAAAGCGGTGTAACAGTTGCATTTGTACGGTGTGTCTCTACGTGTCATAGTCAAATCACCAGTGAGATTACAAACTTAAACATGGAAGCAAACCACATTATTCTACTTGTTTATCTGTCCCTAGCATTTATATACTACATTAAATTTCAATGGACATTATGTACTAATCTTTCTAAAAATTCTGAACATCGGAGGCCATTGCAATGAATGAACAAGTCTTGTTTGACGTATTTTGTGTGCAATATAATCATATTCTACTTCTAGGCTTTCCCTTTTGTGCACAAGAAAAGTTGCAAAGAAATTGAAACAACCCTTCAAGGTATGATTAAATATGCTTGGTGTGTAGACTTTCTAACTTTCTAAGGTTGCATGCCCATGATTCCTGAGTTATCACCCTGTATTTCCTTCCCCAAAATTTGCTCTAGTAACTGTGACTAAAATTTGTAAGGTAGTAAAATGGAAGTACTCAATGATCATATGACCCACTTGACTATATGCACACATTTGTGTTATGCCCTTTCAGATATGGAGAGATAATAGCAGTTAGCTTTAACAAGAATCCAAAGCGATTTATTTGTTTTTAAGGCAACACTAAGACCCATTGATGGACAATAGATGAAGGGTGCAACCCAATTGGTGCAAGGCATTTGCACAACGGTGCAAGAGGACAATTAGCTATGAGTCAAAACATATTACCATCATTTGAATGCCCCTTAACTCTGTTTCCTCTTGGCTAAGTCTTCTTGGAAATCTTCTCCAGCTAAGCTTTCACTTTCATGGAACATTCTTCTTGTGAATGTCTGCTTTGCCCTCGTGGAAGCTTTGCCTCCTACATTGTCCCTCTTCGGCTTCACACTCTCAATTATCGAGCTACTTTTGACATTAAAATGTAGATCAAAATTATCCCCTTAAAATGGAAAAGATACAAATTAACTAAAGCACATTACTGTGGCAGACATTGCAACATTGAAGAAGACCTCGTTGGACTATAGCTAATACCGTCCGTAGTGGACAACAAAAAAGCGAGAAGATAAATACCTAATTCGTGTAGTCCGTTGATTTGATAAATATTGCAATCAAAGTGTACATAATTGAAGTATATTAGGAAAGCATTCAATCTCCAAACTTGGAGTTGACAAAATGAGAATAGTGAATCAACTCTTCTCTAATCTCTCTACTAAGTACTAGTACACAAAGGGTCTTTTACGTTGCGTATTTTGAGTCTTTTACGTCGGAAAAGGTTCCGACGTTAATACGGGAGACGTAAATATACGTCGCCTCTGAAACGCGACGTAAATTTACGTCGGATATTATCCCAGCCCAACATAAAAAGGGACAAAAAACATGCCATAATTTTACGTCGGACATGGCTTTGTCCGACGTAAATTTACTTCGGCCATTGCAAGGCCTGACGTAAATTTACGTGGACAAAGACATGTCCGACGTAAATTATGGGGTTTTTTTTTTAAAATGTTTATAAATTTTTTATATACCCAACACCTGCATATATATAGTCCAGAATACCAAATCTAAACCAGACAGTCTAGAATAGAAATTCAAATTATATTTCAAAATTGAATGACAAAAAGAAAATAATATATAAATCTTAAAAAGCATAAATTATGACAATGTAAATCCTATTATCCTAAAAAAGCTATAAAACATATGTTTGTCAATGCTATCTAACTAACTAAACTAACTAACTATCAAACTATAAACATAATATCTAACTAACTAAACTTAGAAAAAAAGTTGCCCATTGTTCTCTTATCTTGAGCATCTCATCTTCGGGCAATGGAGATGGATCTTGAAAGACCTGAAAGGGTAATTTAAGTGTCATTAATATGCAATGTTAATTATTCTAAAGGTAAATATAGTTAAATAAATTTTGATATGAATTACCTGCGCCCAAGAATCAATAATACCCGCAGAAACTATGGCTTTCATCCAATACATGATGTAATAGCCACATTCAAACGAGTCTTGTTGCTTATTACACTAAAATGAGAAACAAATAACTATTAATTCCAAAGTCAATAAATTTAAATATTATTGACTGTATGAATTAATTTGCTAACCTTAGGGTATATGAAATGCAATGACTTTGATGATCTGGCTCTTCCACTTAATATATTAGCTCCAGACACGATTCTAATTAATTGAAATAAAAATAAATGTTAGCCAATATATATAATTACAGTGTTAAAACATAATGAAAAAATTTAGTTACCCATGTAATTGGCTTTTAATTTCCTGGCTTGGTTTTCGATGAAGTGAACAAAACCACACCACGGTATATTCCTTAGGAATGATTACCATTAACTGCCAATGAGACCTACATTGTATGACAAACAAATCAGTTAAAAAATTACCATGATTAAAAAATCAATTAAAAAACTAACCCGTCAATGTATGGAGCCATGTATATATGTCTTCTTGAGTCACTCATCCATGTTTGCATATATTGTTGGATCTGGACCTGAGTGTTTCCTGATTTTTGGATGGATTGAGGCTCAATAAATCCATATACTTCTGCTTGTGCTTGCTCCACACTCAATTTGTCCATGTACCTAACACAAATAATTATTATAAGTTAAATGTAATTATTGTAAATTTAGACTCATAAAAGAAAATATGACTTACATGGCCCACAACTGTATGACAGATATATTTAACATGGAGTTTCCCCCAACAATCTCTAATGCATCAGGCAGAGATATGTATAGTGGAACATCAGAGCTATCAACTCCAAAAACTCTAATGTCCCACTGCAATTGAATTGGTTGCTTCTTTAATCGTGGTAATTTGATTAGAAGCTTAGATATGGGATCATCCTCAGCTTCTGCGATATTAGCATCATGAACATGAGGTTCTCTCATGACCTCCTTACCACGATTGATAAAATCCTAAAGAAATAATCAAAATTAGTTAAACAATAATAGAATTATAAGAATCTAAAAGAGCAATAATATAATTACCTTTGCCCGTGCTGAAAGCGGCATGACCAAACATTTTGGCCAAGCTAAGAATGTGCCGGTTGCCTGCCCCACTAGTTGAACCTCTGTATTGGGCAAAGGCACTGGAGCAGCAGCATCTTGAACTTGGTCAACCACAACCCGTGTCCAGTCTGGCTGTAGAGGGACACCATGGATGGTTGAGCCACCCTCAAATACTCGGCCAATAGCCACTAACCGTGGGGGGTCATCCTCAACATATAACTCGCACTGGTTTGGTACATCAGTGTGAGCATGTTCCCCTGAGGGATTTGGAGCAGCACAACTCCCTTTAGTGCTGACTCGAACACCATCATGAGCAACTGCAGTCTGTTGCTGAGAACGAGCCAAAAGTTCAAACTTCTCTTCAAACTGTTTTTCAATATTCTTCAGTTTCTCTTCAAACTGCATCTCCAATCTCTGCTCCAATTTCTGTATAACCTCTTGACTGCAAGAGTCGACAGTGCTCCTCGATGATCGGCCACCAAAGAAATCTCGGTGGCTCCAAGAACCACCAACACCACGCACACGACCTCCGTGCTCTGGCTTTCCTATGGCCGTTGTGAGGATATCATTCCGACCATCGGAAACAAATGAGCCCTGGGTGCTCTGCTCAACTAAACCCTCCTACAACATATTAACAATAAGTATACCCTAAACTACACTTATGAATTAAATGAGTTGAAATGAAGAGTCTTAGTTTGTATATTTTTACTTACTATTTTACTAGCAACGACTCTTGCAGACTCAGAAGTCATTTGCCCATCTGGTTTTGTCCGGGCTGCTATCCACATCTCATGGCGGGGAGGTGACTCCACACGGTCAGCATCCTCAACCCCTGCTGCCTGTGCCCTAGCCTTCTTCATTTGCTTTTTTTTTCTTTCATATCCCCCTCTTGACAATAGATGGGGTGCATCATTCTTGGCTTGTCGTTCTTGGGCAGCTATTCTTTTAGCCTGCAATAATAAAAAAAAAAATGAGATAAATTAAAATATACCTTAAGTATTTGTGTCAATGTAAAAGTTATCGATAACTAACCTGCCACGAAGGGTCCAATCGAGTGGCACAAAATTGCATCCACTCCTCATCAGTGATCTGGTACTTTAGACAGGGAGTCTCATTTTGGCGCTCTCCAAATACATACTCCCGTGTCAAGAAAGTCTTGAAGTCTCTCCACCTGCTGGCAAGGGCAGATAACATCTTCCTCCTCATGCCCTCAGTGTTGGGAATGTCAAAATTTTGCTATGAAAATAACAACAAATAATAAATAATGTATTTAAGTTATATAATATTGAAAGGATGTGAAAGTATATACCTGAATATCCTGCCACATGAGGTTCTTGTCAACCTCCTGAACGTCATCCCATGATGGAATGATAATAGAAACATGTCGTCGAGCTAGGACTCCCAAATAGCTCTTAAACTTGGCAGCATTTGGGCCTGATGCCTTGCCAGAACGAGGATCCACCTCAACCGATGTCCTCTCCTTGGCAATGCGCCCAGCTGTCAACCCAGACAATCGAGTGACAGATCTACCTTCCCTCCTTCCACTGCCAGACCCAGAATCCTCCATAATCCTGAAAAAATTAAACTGTCATTATTAAAACAATGAATTAATTGAATAGACAAATAAAGTAAAAAAGATAATAACAATATAGCAACAAAATAACTAATAAAAAAACAAATAATACATAAACAGAAACCTATTAGGTTGGAATGTTTTCCCATATTCCTTCATCATGATCACTTCGAATAGCATGTATTTCGTCCACTTCATTGTCCGCAATAGGACCAAATGATCTGCTTGAAAAAGACGGTGTCTCATGCATATCTAGAGACTCATCTTCGTGAGTTCCATGCATGGTTCTTCCTTCGAGGACCACTGACCATTTCTCATTACATGGATCCTTTACATAAAAAATTTGTCTTGCTTGATATGCCATAATAAAAGGTTCATCCTTATAGCCGACCTTATTCAAATCAACCAAAGTAAACCCTAAATCATCTGTCCGCACACCTGTATTGCCATCAACCCATTTACACTTGAACACAGGCACTCTAAACGTAACATAATCAATTTCCCATATGTCTTCTATGACTCCGAAATAACTCATGGATGCTGTAATGGGATTTTTATCTTTTGAACTAGCAAAGTGCACAGCCTCAGCCTGAATTGTAACCCCACTATTTTGTACTCTACTTTTGTCATCTTCTGTTTTTGTATAGAAACAATATTTGTTAATGTCATACCCACCAAATGTAATGACATCGTTGTTAGGCCCACGCGCGAGTCTCAAAAGTGTATCAGAAGCATTAACCTCACCATAAACCTTTTTCTTAAACCAAGCTAAAAAACTCTTGTTATGTTCATTCAATACCCATTTCTCAGTCATCCGAGGGTGTGCTATCTTGATTTCATCTATGTGTTCTGATATGTAAGGAATTACTTCATCAGTGTTGTTCAATATGTACAAATGTGCTTGGTCAACTTCTGTTCGACTCACAGTTCTAATCTTTAAACTTCGAGTACCCTTACCAAATTGTTTCCCATCATGTCGAGTCTTGGGAATTCCTATTGGTTCTGATTTCGACATGTACCCTGAACAAAACTCAATGGCTTCTTCTGCAATGTACCTCTCCACAATAGAGGCTTCTGGGCGGTATTGATTCTTGACATATCCTTTTAAGATCTTCATGTATCTCTCAACAGGGTACATCCATCTAAGATAAACCGGGCCACACAATCGAATCTCCCTAACCAAATGAACTATCAAATGCACCATGATATCAAAAAATGAAGGTGGAAAATACATTTCCAATTGACACAAGATTGTGATTGCTTCATTTTCTAACTCATCTAACTTTACAGGGTCAATTACTTTGTTGCAAATGGCATTGAAGAATAAACACAATCGAGTAATAGCAACTCTAACAGAAGATGGTAAAATGTTACGAATAGCCACAGGCAAAAGTTGTTGCATTAACACATGACAATCGTGAGACTTTAAACCAATCAACTTCAAATCTTGCATAGACACCAGACTCTTAACATTTGAGGAGTACCCTTGTGGAACTTTCACACTGCTTAAGCACTCACAAAAGCTTTTTTTTTCTTTCTTTGATAGAGTATGACAAGCTGGAGGCAAGTAAGTGCGTCTTCCAATAGACTGAGGATGCAACTCAGAACGTATACCCATGTCCACCAAATCTTGTCGTGCTTTCACTCCATCTTTAGTCTTTCCTTTGATGTTTAGCAATGTCCCAATTACACTATCACAAACATTTTTCTCCACATGCATCACATCTATGCAGTGTCTAACATCTAACTTGCACCAGTAAGGAAGATTAAAGAATATTGATCGTTTCTTCCAGATATTTCTCTCAGTTGACTTCTTTTGCGTCTTTCCGAACACAATGTTAATGTTCTTCACCCGTTGATATACTTCTTCACCATTGCGCGGTGTCGAGGCAATTTCATCCTCTTGACTTCCATTGAATGCTTTCTTCAATCTACGGTATGGATGACTACGAACAAGAAACTTACGATGCCTAGTGTACGCAGTCTTTTGCCCATGTTTCAATTGGGTATAACTTGTGTTTTCTTCACATATAGGACATGCATAATGACCCTTCACACTATACCCACTCAAGTTACCATATGCTGGAAAATCATTTATTGTGCAAAATAACATTGCACGCATGGTAAATTTTTCTTCACGATATGCATCAAACACCTCCACTCCTGTGTCCCATAACATTTTCAAGTCATCAATCAATGGACTAAGATACACATCTATGTCATTTCCTGGTTGTCGGGGACCTGATATCATCATAGACAACATAATATATTTTCTCTTCATGCATAGCCAAGGAGGCAAATTATAAATGACCAACAAAACTGGCCATGAACTGTGTTTACTACTTAAGTTCCCATAAGGATTCATGCCATCTGTAGCTAAACCAATTCTCAAGTTTCTTGACTCTGCACCAAATTCTGGAAATGTTTCATCAATCCTCTTCCATTGCGGAGAATCAGCTGGATGTCGAAGAAAGTTGTCACATTTTCTACCATTTTCATGCCATGTGAGGTTTTTTGCATCCTCTTTAATGGCAAACAATCTTTTAAACCTAGGTATTATTGGCAAATACCATAAGACCTTAGCAGGGGGACCCTCTATTTCTTCCTCACCATTACTTCCATCAGTTTTCTTTTTGAACCGCGACAATCCACATGTGGGACACACTTTCAGTGTAGCAAAATCATTTGTATACAATATGCAATCATTAGGGCACGCGTGTATCTTCTTATACTCCAAACCCATTGGACATAGTATCTTTTTTGCCTCATAGTTGCGATTAGGTAACGTGTTATCTTCTGGAAGCATCTCCTTCAATAACTCCAACAATTCTGTGAAACTTTTATCAGTCCAGCCATTTCTTGCTTTTAAACTAAACAATTTTAAAGTTGCTGATAATCTTGTAAACATACTGCATCCTGGGTACAATGGTTGCTCAAAATCAGACTTTAAGGTATCATACACATGTGCTCTTTCAAAATTTTCTTCACCAACATCACGTATCATCTCTTCTAAGTTATCGTCCATCCCTTCAAAATTTTCAGTTGTTGACACTGTTGGAATGTCTAATATTTCTCCGTGCCATGTCCATACTGTATAACTCTTCACAATACCATATATAAACAGGTGATCACGTATTTCTCCAACTTCTTGACGTATCTGATTCAAACAACGAACACATGGACAATAATATGCCCCTTTGATGGGTTTCCCATTTTCTCTTGCAAATTCCAAGAACTCTTCAACTCCATTTCTGTACTCTTGACTAATGCGACTTGCATTCATCCAACTTCGATTCATTATCTATATATTAACACAAATTAACTATTGACTCAGTTATTCATAATTTTTCTAACCTAAACTACAACCCTAAAAAATCCATAGTAATTTTGGATAAAATCCATAAATATTTCTACTAATAACATGGTAAACTAAAGGTCAATGCCTAAAAAAGTCATTCTTTAATGCATCTAGAACGGCCCTTACTGAAACCAGAACGGGCCGTTCCAGATCAACAATTTACTAAACCAAAAATTTAAGCAGAACGGCCCGTACTGCTTGCAGAACGGCCCGTTTTGCAAGCGGAACAGCCCGTTCTGCAAGGAGAACGGCCCGTTCCAGATGAACAAATAACAGAAATTAAAAAAACAAATTGCGTAGAGAACAAAATTACCTCAAATGTGTAATGTGCAGACTTAGGGACTTAGAGACGTGCAATGTGGAATCAAATGCAGTTGGAGACTTAGAGAGAATATAAGAGAAGAAGTATATTTTTCGTAAACAATGGGAGGCGCAGGAAGGGAAAAGGAGACGTTGGGGTTTTTGCGGGGAAATTTACGTCGGACATAGATGGGTCTGACGTAAATTAGATAATTTACGTCGGACAGGTAAGCAGCCGACATAAATTATCTAATTTACGTCGAACTCATCTGTGTCCGACGTAAATTTCCTCCTCTTTATTTACGGAACTGCCACCGCGTTTTTACAACGTCGGGTGTGCTAGTTTCCGACGTAAATGAGGAGACGTAGTAGCTCCTTTTTCCACTAGTGCAGGAAGAATATGAATTTACTACACAATAATTCACTAGTTCCTATTTTCTTAATTATTTGCTTTCTACGTAAATATCAACCATACGTTAAAAGGATCAAGGATTTGTACTTGCAGATCTTGATATCGAGTGGGATTAGATTTGCTGTGGCCATCTAAAGAGAGAGCTTTTTCCACAATTTAAACCAGAAATAGAAAAGATAAAGAAACAATGTGTTGATTTGAGACCCTCGCCGAAAGGCTGAAGGGAGCAATTTAAGTAAACTGGCATATCACACGTGAATATATATAGTGAATGAAATATCTCAACAACACATCGATGGATACTTCATTCCTTCGTCTGTGTAATTAGCCTTACATCCCATATGTTACCTAATTTTAGCACTCATCTCCTTCAGGCTGAAATTTATGTATCCTCAATACCAACTCCATACCATAATATAAAAAAAATTCTCATTTTGATGTTGTAACACTCCTCACGCGGAGGAACAAAAATCTCAAGCTCTAACTAATACCATCTTAACTAGGGATGGTAAGGGACGGGTCGGGTACGGGTATCATGATACTCGTCTTCGTCCCAGCAAGTCAAAAACTCATTCTCATTCTCGTACCTGTACCCGTCGAGTATATGATTTTCATCTTCATCGCTGTCCCCGTCAGGATCGAATATATCCGTACCCATACTCGTACCCGTCAATTTTTTTTATTTTTATTTTTTATAAAAAAAATGATATTTTTAAATTATTTTTTATTATATTATAATTATAATTAGGTTATTTCTCTATCTCATAGTAAAATAAATAATCACACATAAAAAATATTAAAATTCTTTAATATAACTTACCCGCCCCGTACCCGTAATTTAAAATATCGGGTTTTACTCGTACCCGTACCCAGTCAAACCGAGTATTTCCTGTCAAAGTCGAGACTGGTTTGGATATTATTCGCGAGTACAAGTATATTTGTTATCCCTAATCTTAACATTAGGGTCTATCTCAATCATTCAAAATCAGTTTATCATGAGATTTGTCCCATTTATATAACATACTTTGATTATATATGTAATTAATGTGAGATCTCTTACAAATTTGCCGCACCAAAAACTAAACTAATGACATGAACTTCCTCCGGTGATTCATAGTATTTATGTTTTATTAGAAGGTGAGATAATGGGTAATCCGAGATAATTTATCAAAATTAAACACTAATGACATGACTTACCTCTAATGTATACGGTAAGGTGAATTGCGGGTTAAATTTAAAAATAGTTAATTATTTGAATTATATGGTTGGGTGGATAGCGAGTTAACCCAAGTCCACAGACATGAAAAAGGTTATCCTACATTGCGATAGAAGAGAAAATAACAAGAGCAACTAGTTCATTTTAATGTGACTGTGCACCAACCAGCAATATCTCATGGTCGGATATTCTTTGACAATTCAATGTTCAAACTTGCTAATAACCGCTACATTGATCCACCGTTCTCCGCCCTATATATATATATATATATATATATATATTTGGGAGAAGGGACCACAACCACAAACGCCAGTACATATAGTTAGAGAAGAACATAATAACGGATCATCAAAAAGGAGACCACAAACATTTTGCATCAATTTGTTCCTTAAACGATAATTTGTTTTACGTCATTTGATTGTAATAAAAGAATATTTCATTTGAAGGACTAATTTTATGTTGTTGGTTCTAAAACAATATAAATAAATAAATAAATAAAAACAAACTCTATGCAAGAACAAATAAAAAAGATTGAGAGAAGAGAATATAATAGAATTATAAGATTTAGTCAATTTGGCGTACATCAATAGAAGAAAACAAATTTCACTATCTGAAAATAAGATCAAGTTTTTACAACAGAATAACTTATTACACTTCTCAAAAATCCCTCAATCTCTAACTAATTCTTTTTTGCTCTCTCTCTCTCTCTCTCTCTCTCTCTCTCTCTCTCTATATATATATATATATATATATATATATATATGTTGAGGGGGTTATAATAACACATGTGTAACTTTTACTAAGTATTACATTGTTTAATAACTTTATATTAAATGCGAATTTTGTAAATTCAACCGTTAAATTGAAAGTTCATGTCTCTTAAATCATATATGCAAAATTTAATATTAATCCAAAATGATTTGATACTTCATTTTTATAAAACAAAATTGACGTAATATATTCATTTCAAAATATACTAAAATATGAACACTTTGATCACCTTTAAATTGTTGTTCAATTTTAACAAAATTTGATATACAAATATAAAGTGATATGAACTTTTAATCTAGTAGTTGAATTTACAAAATTTATAATTAATATAAAATTATTGAGCGGTGTAATACTTAGTAAAAGTTACATCGGTGTAATTATAACCATCTATATATATATATATATATAGAGAGAGAGAGAGAGAGAGAAAGAAAGGTATCTGCTTACTCTAGAAATAAGTCTACCTATACTTACTCTGTTCAATAACTTATATTTAACATCACATTTTAATAATCCAACTATTAAATTTAAAGTTCTTAATGTTTGGATGAAGTTTGCAAATTTAAAAAAAAATGAAAATCATTTGATACTTCATTTCATTAATTCAAATTGATGGATAATCATAAAATCATTTTATATGTTGATTTGAGTTAATGAAACGAAGTATCAAATGATTTTCAAATTTTTTAAAAATTTGCAAAGCTAATCTATGCATTAAAAACTTTAAATTTAATGGTGATATTGTTGAAATTTGATATAAAATAACATGAATTATTGAACATAGTAAGTTTAGATAGACTTACTTCTAGACTAAACGAATCCCTCCTTATAATATATATATATATA